GAGTTTTTTTTAAAAGATGAATTGTATAATCATATAGAAAATGCTCTAAAAAGATGTTTACAATTTTTTTAAAAAAACATAATAATCTTAGAGTGTTACTTGTAGTCTTTTGACCATCAAAAATACATGAGGCATATATAGCAAAAAATGATATTTTTTTTGTAGCATGTATGAAAGCTCTTGTACCTACCAATAAGGATTTGGTTGTATTAGACTTATAACTTGACTAACAAAATTTTAGATTGAACTACAAAAAAACTCAAGGTTATAAAAAATCTAATATAATTAATAATTATACTTCTTTAGCCATAATAATACTAAAAAATTGAATTAAAAGAATATCTAATTATATTAAATATTATTAAGATTTTAAGATCTTTAGTTGCTACATTTAGAGGAAAAAAATCATGGACAACATCTCTACTAGACAACAAACAACTATGTATTATTTCTACATGTATGGATTTGATTTTTTTGACTAAAGTTATGCCTTTTTTTTTTTGATAAATTTTTTATTTATAAAACAAGTTGAGGCTCTTGAATCTAATAAGAAAAAATTTATGATTTTTTAGTCCTAAAAATCTTCTATTATAAAATAAGGTGGAAGATCTAAAGAAATAATAGGATCTTTATCAGGTATTACATAAGATTTTAATTGTATAATTCTTATTATAATTGAAAAAACTTATTTTTTGTGATATTGTCTATTTTGGCAACCATATTCTTTATTTATTGTTGAGTTATTTCTTTGGATAATATTAAGCAATGTGCTTAGGTTTTCCACTATATAAACATAAACCTTCTTAAGAATGTCAAGTTTTTCCTTATTTAATAAGAAATTTGAAATATATTGTATAAAATTTATATATATTTTGGCCTTGATGAATCAACTTCTAAAAACTTGAATTTTTTTTCTCTGACTTGACTTATATTTTTTCAACCAAATCTTTATTTTCATCACCTTTTAAAGAATCAATTATTGCATGTAATGGCTTGAGTAATAAATTACTTTAATAAATATGCTCTTGGCATTATTAACAATAAATCTTTAATATTATCTTTCAATCCATATCAAAATTGATTGATAAAGGCTTTATCATTCTATTCTATATTTCAAGGAAGGTTTTAGAATTCAACAATATATATGGTGGCTAAATGTGATTTTTATTGTAAAAATACAAGTTTGGTCTCTACTATCCATTTTCAATCACTTTCTTTAAATATTACCATAAACACTTTTAAAAATATAATTAAATCATAGAAGAATTGTGAATATTTTTCCATCAAAGGTACAAATAAAGAAAAAGTATTTCCAAATAGAAGTTCATGTATGATCCAACTTAAGTAAATCCATCAAAATATTGAAAAAAAATACAATGTTAGATAGAGCTTTATTTGTTGTAGAAATCTTCAAAATTTTGATCTTATTCCATCAAAATTTTCTAGCTTACTTATCCTTGCCTCTTTTATACTTATAGTAGCTGCTTTTTTGACCTAGTTGTGAGTTTGATCTACTTACTTCTCTCAATTGCACAACTTCTTAGCATAAAATTTGAACTTTATTTTTTATTTCTTTTATGGATGTAGGAATATTACTTCTATGGTTGACATTAAAAATATCTAAGATTTCTACCCTAAGAGTGTTGAAAATCTTTTAAAGATCTATAATAGTTACAAATCTATTTTTACTTTCAAGAAGAATAACATCCATAATTTTTTCTTCTATAGAAAATTTAAACAAATTTATAATTCAATTTAGAAGAGAATAATCTATAAATTTTAATATTAAATAAAAAAATCCTACAAAGAAAGGTGAATATCTAGATTCTTGTATCTCAAGAATCTCAAGTATCTCTTTTGTGTTTCCACATAGGAACTATCCCTATACTTGTTTTTTTCGGCTTTTGATTTTATCAAATTTATAATCAAATAATTCATCGTAGAAACTATATTCAATTTATTTGTCAATTTTATCTGATCTTTTTTAAGTTTTTCTTTAAATATTCATATTTTTATGAATTTAATCTTATCTTTATCTTCTTTAACATATTCTTCAACCATCTATATCTTCATTTTATTTTGCAACTCTTATAACTCAATACTAGACAAAAAGTGTATAGAATAACATACAAGCATGTCGATTGCATTCTTTTTTATTATAATATTTTTTAATAATAATAAAATTATTTTAAATCTATTTATAAATTTTTAATAGTAAGTTTCTATTAATACTATTTAAAATATAGTAGAATTAATTTATTTCTAATTACTATAACTATCAAAGGTGGTTTTAACTTTATGAAGTAGCTATAACAACATTGTCTTCTTCATGCTCTAAAATCCTTTTTTTCTTTCAAAACTACCTATTATTAATTTTAATAAAAAAATAATTCATCATCTTAAATATGACTTGTATTAGGTTTATTAGATGGTAGCGGTGTTGTATTGTAATTTCTTATAGTATGTAAAAATTAGTTAGAACATATAATATGTTGATAAGTCTTGGTGTGTGTTAGAATTGTTAATAGATTAATTTAAAGAGAATAGATATAAGAAACTTTATTTTGAGTTTTATCTATTTTTATTATAATATTTGAAAAATTATAGGACTTAAATATTTAGTATGAAGCCTTGAGAGGAGATTAGAGCCTAAAGATGAAAATTTAAACTAGTAGGAGGCTTATTGGAAGGGATTAAAGCAAAGCATAGTTGGATGAAGGCAAGGAATGGCGATCTTCATTCCTATTGGTTGAAGGCCATGTCCAATGGACTTTAAGGAGGCTACCTAAGGCCTTATTAGGGATTAGGATTTGTCTTTTGAGGTCATTCGAGCTTTGGAGGCTAGGACTAGCAAGTTTAGGTTTTTAAATATGGATTAGGTATAAATTTTGTGTGATTTGGAGTGTTAATGAAGGAGTTATTGGCACTCAAAGTTAAGGTGTCAATTTCATACCTACTGTCACTCTTTGGGGCATAACATATGCTTACGGAGAGCAAAGAAGGATCGACAACTAGGGTTGGAGAGAAAACATTTTTAGCTATTTCTGATCATTACATGCATATGGTTTAGGCCCCAAATACACCTAAAACATGATTGTACTAATACTTTACCAAGTTCAAAGATATATTTGCAATTATCACATAAGTTAAGGATAAATTAGTAATTATCAAGAATATATGGATATTCTTGATATTTCAATGGTACATATGATATTTTTCTTTTTTCAATACTCATTATCTTTACAATAGCTTAATAAAATTAATGCTCCTAAAATACATAAAACTACACAAATCAACAATTAATTGGAATTTGGAAAAGACTTGTTTCATGATTCTACATTTGATTGTAAAAATACAATGGTCTGCATAAGTGCCTAAAAATTTGTTTAAAATATCTAAAGACATTTACAAGTATTGTTAAATTCTCCTACATGACTAAGAATCAGATATGGACTATAGAAATGTAATCAATAGGTATTTGAAATTCCAAAATTCCAACAATGTTTTATTACACACAATGGTTACAACATATGCTGAATCTTTTTATTTATTTATTATTATTATTATTATTATTTATTGATCACTAAATACATAATAAACAGTGTTAATGTGTATATTCTGATTACTATGTAAGTAGAAAAAATATACCAGAATGTTGATGCCACTGTTTGCAACATTGGATTTATTCCACTGAAAGGAAATACATACTAATTTGTAAGTTATCAATATACTCTTGTAATGTTAAAGTATAAGTACCCATTTTAGCATGTGAGTCATGATTAGCAAATGTCTATACAAATTATTGTACTTGTAATAAAGGCTCTATGCCAACAATCAATGTTACATTAATATAATGTATTTTCTTAGGCAAATTTGAATTGTGTGTGAGTGTATATATATATATATACACAAACAGAGAGAGAAACACATGTTTTACATTACCTCAAACATCCAAAAATCAAAACAAAACCATAATTCCCACTGGCTTGAAAAGAAAGAAAAACATAAAGCCAAAACCATCTCTTTGCTTTACATTACAATAGACAACGGTTGAATTCAGAAATAAATAATGCATCAGAATTTTATTTTACTTTATTTTAGTATTATACACACACTAAAATAACCAAATATACATTAAAACATTAACCTTACTTTATATTACTCTGTAAAAATCACGAACAATTTTTTTTTTAATAGAATGAGACAGAAACAATTTAACTTAATGTATGCTCAACAGGAAAATAATGTTAGTAACAACAAATAATAAAATAAACTGAAACCTAACTCTGTAATACACTTACACACATAATAAAAGTTACTAATAGTTAGCACAAAATAAAAATACATAAATCTTTCATCATATAAGACTACAAACATGTATACAAATATTTCAAAACACCTTGATTTACAATACAGTAAATATCAACAATGAATTGTCTTTAAAAACACCACAATAAAAGAAAGTAAATTCGAAATCAAAATATCAGGACTTCATTGTACATGACACAACCAAAAAAAACAAGAAAGAACTTGAAAACAAGAATATAAATTTTAAAAATACTTTACATTAATCTGAAGAAAAATAGTAAACAGCAAGAAAGGAATCCATTTAGCAAGCTACACACCAAACAAACCATACAGACAAATATTGAGCATCATCCTTCCTAGATAATCCTCTACCTTGGACAAAACAAATAATAACAAAGAAAAGAAAAGAAAAGCTGTAATATATCAAAATGGGATACCACATAAACGATTCCTAAAATCAAAGCCTCGTAATTTTTTTTTTTTTTTTTTTTCATAACCCACAATGCCAAAACCACACAAACCTCACAGTTTGGACCCATACATTGTAGAATCTTGAGGGTATTTTCCTTTGAGAACCCCATCCCACATCCACGAAACACATCTATGTCGGTAGGCTCCATCCACGACATTCGTTCGACCAGCGGGATATTATTGTCCAAAGGTTCCCGTCTCCGATGCCCAATTCTATAGTGCAAAACTTCGAGATGGGCCCCGCGCATTCATCAGCCTTGTTGCATGATTTAGTTCGTCGTCTGAAGTCTTCTCCGAAATTCACGAGGGCCACCAGAGTGGGCTTCATTTGGATACGGTGATGGATAAGGATTGCTCTTCATTTGCGCGCATTTGCGGGAATTGGCAGAAGTTCAGCTGAAGGGGGTTTGTCAGGTTAGAACTTGCGAGTAAGTTAGGTTTTGGGAGGACTTTTTACAAATCTGTTTGTGATGAACCGCGCGCTGTCAAGTGTTATTGTCGGGGGAGGAGAGTATGGTGAGATGTGGTCATCGAATTTGATATTTAGGGCTTGTGCGTTTAGGGGTTTTTGTATTGTGGGTGGTGGAATGTCAATGTAGGGGAGGGGATCGGAGGGAGAGAATGGAGCAGCGGAGGAGGAGAGAGCTGGCTTTAGTTGTGCTGGGAGTTGTGTTGCACTCCTTGTACATGCTGAGCATTTTTGATATCTACTTCAAGTCGCCAATTGTGAGCGGGATGAACCCGGAGCCGCTCGGAATAAAGCCTCCTGCGAATCGGGTCGTTCTCTTTATCGGTGAGTTCTTCTCTTGTTTATATTTATTTATTTCTTTCAAGTTTTTAGGTGAATCCCTGCAACCTATTGTCCCTGCAAGTAATTCCAGTGAATCGCCAGCGTTTCTTGCATTCATGTGTCTATGCTAGTATCCTGTCAAACGTCTTATGAGTATGGGTATCAGGATGAAGGTTGTATTGTTTTTAGTAATTGGATTTTTACACTTTTTGAGCTTGCCAGTATGAAGGTCTGAGTGTTATTGAGCTGATGATTCTATGTAAGAAACTGGTCACGAAACAAACAACGAGAGGAGTGATCATGCAGGCTTGGTGTTTCTTGAGCTGATGATTTTTTGCACGATGAGGAGTTTGAGCCTCCAGTAGAGGTTCCTGCACAGATATTTTGGAGTTTCAGATTTTCGGGAGTGATTTCATTGTTATCTTTTCTCCCCACAAAAGTCTAATAAAGTACAAAATGCTAGGTGAAATTTAACTTGCTTACACCTGGGTTTTTAATTATTCTTTATCTCCCGCGCACATGGTGGAAGTGTAACATTTTTATTCTTGATGTCTTTTGTTTTACATGCTAGGCAGATAAATAAGTTGGAAGGTTCACGATTTTGAGTATTAAATCCTAAATTTGTCTAATTATCAGTAGTGAGAACCAACATTTAGATCACGTGTATTAGTATTTAATCTCCTAAATGATAACAAGTTGGTGACTTTTTAAGGAATTAAAACACCACGAGTATGTTATATTACCAGGCCATGGAAACATTTCTGCCCTTAAAATCATTTATTGAAACATTGCTGAATGGAAAAATTATGAACGTAGCATTGTTGGCATCGATATTTTCCTGATTTGCTGAAAGATGGTACTTGATTGGTTGGTTCATTCAGCCTTCAATAATGCTGCGACATGCATACCCTTGGTTCTCAATCCTGTTCGCATTCTTGTTCGCTTTTATAATTACAAGTTTGTCTACATTGTACGAAAGTCATGTTGGAAGGTTGCTTTTGTGAAGCTAAATGTTTAGTTTGGAGCGAACTTAAGTACTCGAATGAAGTGCAGCCTAGGACCATACGGTATTTATAAATCCTCTCAAATACATGTGTATACCCTCTGAATATATTTTATAATGAGTAAATATTTGCTTAAATGTTACCAGTGTGGACACATAAATTTGTCCATGAAATTGCGTGCATGTAGTTCTTGACGATATGTGGAAGAGGTGGGTTCGGTCGAAGACCCAGTTCTATGTAAGTGATTTAGTACATGCAAATTGTAACAGCCGATGGGATGCGAGCCGATAAATTTTTCGAAAGGGACAGGGATGGGCAACCCCGAGCTCCGTTTCTGCACAATATTATGCACAATAAAGGTCGGTGGGGCCTTTCTCATGCAAGGCCGCCAACTGAATCACGCCCAGGACATGTTGCAATTATCGCTGGGTTTTATGAAGACCCTAGTGCTGTCACAAAAGGTGTGTCATTTCAAAACATTATCGTTTGTGATTGAAAGAGGACGTGTGCACCCAACTTGAACAGCCTATGCAATGGTTTTGTTTCACGTTTTTTTTTGCTTTATTTTTTTTTCACCTCGACTTGGATTCGTTTTGTGTAATTTGATGATTTGTCTAACATAGACGACAATAGGTTATAACTTCATTGTCTCATTTTGGGGCGAATATTGGGATTGGCAGGTTGGAAGGCAAATCCGGTAGAGTTTGATTCAGTTTTTAATAGGAGCAGACACACAGTTGCATTTGGAAGTCCGGATATTGTGCCTATCTTTTGTTCGGCATTGCCCCACACTTATACGGATTCATACTCAACTGAGTTTGAAGATTTTGCCACTGGTAATGTACTTATGTCGAAATTTGCGTTGCATCTAGTCTCTTTTATATGCTAGTTCAAACTGTATAATTTTGCAATGGTACTATTGGCAAACGAAATAAATTATCCTAACTGTTCTATATTTTTGCATGGCATTGGACGTTACAATATATGTGGGATAATTGAAACATCTGATTTCTTAGGGTTCTGTCTCACTGCACTTACAACATCCTTACATCCTTACAGATGCATCCTTCCTTGACGAATGGGCTTTCGACCGACTGGAAAGATTTCTTAAAGAATCACAATCGGATCCTAAAATCCAGAAAGATATCAAGGACGATGGTCTGATTATATTCCTGCACTTACTTGGGTGTGACACAAATGGGCATGCTCACCGACCGTACTCGGACATTTACCTAAACAATATCAACCTTGTGGATCGTGGTATTGAAAGCACTGTGAAGCTCATTGAGGAATACTTCCCCGATGGGAAAACTGCTTATGTGTTCACGTCTGACCATGGCATGAGCAATAAAGGTCAATATGTTTAAATTCGAACGCATTTATGTCCTTTCTTAAGTTCAATTCCGTTTATTTTAATAGTGTTGTTTTTTTATTTGTTTATTTTTTTATTTATTCAATTTTAGTTTTAAATTGGTCCTCTTACTCACGTTGGTGCTATTTCTCCAGGTAGTCATGGGGATGGAGATCCACAAAATACAGAGACCCCTATTGTTGTATGGGGATCAGGTGTTCGTGGACCTGAAATGGCAAGCCCCGAAGATGATGTGGATGACGGTTTACTCTTTGTTGATCAACATAGACATCATGAAAATACTCCTGCCTCTTGGGGTCTAAAGCACATAGAACGTACCGACATCAACCAGGGAGACATTGCACCACTTATGGTAAGTCGAGACATACGAGATTTTGGCTTTAATATTCATAACTTCTTATGTTTGTGGATTGATATTCATCCTTGGTCATCGGAGTTTGTTATTAAATTAAAGGATTGCAAATTTTAAATCCGCATAACGGCTCTGTTTGTTGGTGGCAGTCGACACTTCTTGGACTTCCATGTCCTCTCAATTCAGTTGGAACGTTGCCAGTCGAGTTTTTGGCACTTGACAAGGTTCGCTTCCGGAATGTCAGAGTGCACTCACAAAAAATTCCAAATGTAGTTATCACTGTACCTCGGGTTTGTCAGTGTCCTTGTGGACCCTGATTTGCTCTTTAGCAATTACCATAACTTAGTCTATCAGCTTTAAGAGTGCAGCTTAACTTCCTATTTGACGAATATTTGTGCTGTTTGTTTATTTCCTTCTTTCATCACATCATCTTCGTCATCAGAGGAATGCTTTTTAGAATCTAGAAAACAGCTGGTCGTACTTTCTTATGCTGATATCTTTCAACCCTTTTAGACGATCCAGCATATATCGTTAGTAATAAGACCAATCATTTATGGTGAAACCGTTTTTAGTCGTTTATACTTTATTAGATTGTGCGCTTTGTGTTCATACATTTCCTAACCAAATTTCTTTCTGTATGCAGAGGGATCAGGCGAGAGCTATGTTCGGCAACGCGAAACAAGTGCTTGACCAGGTTCTCCGCAAGTCACGTATCCTTTCATCTCCAATTTTCACAAAGTTCTTTTCACTCGTATTTGTACCACCTTGATGATCTGTTCGCATCCTAAAATGATTACCTTATGATCCTCTTTAGGCTGGAGTATTGTCGATAGTTGTTACTTCAACACAGAATTGTGTTTACTCTGTTTGCCACGCTGCACATGAGTCAAAATACGTGGTTTATTTGTTAAGGTGATGTCTTCCGTCGGGTCGAACGCGCAGTCTTGCTCGAACTGGTTGTCAGTTTGGCACAAAGTCTTTTGTAACAGTATATCTTTTAGAAATGTTGTTCAGCCCTTGTGTGTACGAACCAGTGGGGTCCCGTGTACATGAGTAAGGTTCTAGTAGTGAAGGGTGTTGTGATTTTTTGATAGAAGCAGGAATCGTAGATTCAACCTAGGACACTATGCAGCACATTTTAGTCTGTACTAAATGAGAAGTTCCTTAACTAAAGCACAGAGCTCAAACAAGCAACATCACTCTTTTTCAAACCGTTCATGCCGCTGGTGGAGTATGAGTCCATGCTTGCCTCCATCGACCAGTTAGTATCCAGCGGCCAGTTTGAATCTGCCTTGGAATCAGCTCAGGAGCTTATCAAGGTTGCTCTCGAAGGCTTACACTATTTCCAGACTTACGACTGGCTATTTCTCATGTCAACAGTCATCATGGGGTACCTGGGCTGGATGGTGTATGTATTCCTTCATATATTGGAAACATACACCAAATTTCCTCTGTATTCACATCGAAAGGCTCAGCGCGTAACAGGTAGAGAATCCGGCAAAAGAATGGTAAGGCTTTCTTTTGTTTACGATGTTCAAAATCTGTTTGTTTCATTGACACTGATATAAGTCTCAATTTTATTTGCTGCAGTATCGTGTATATATATGTGTGTGTGTGTGTATATATATATATATATATATATATATACTCACACACACACAAAAGAATTTGGTGATCATTCGATCGATTCGCACCCATACAGACATACACATACACATACACATACATATATGTATTAAGTTTGGAGATCATGAGTTTCTCTTTTCCGGTGTTGTCTCGTACATATACCAAATAGTTACAACCTAGTTTCTGAATGACATTACTGGCGCGTAATGTACGCAGTATTTATCTTAAAGAACTCTAGCTTTGTCAATGAAAACATGAGTCTGATGATCTGAAATCTCACACCTAACCATTTGATGATTGAATACGTCATATAAACTTCCATCTTTTAAGCACCAACTATATAATTTAGTTCGGAGATAGATTTAGTTTTTTATTATTTCTGTAAGATGGAGGGTGGTATTGAAATGTTCTTGATTTATTTTGATCGCTGTGCATGTCGTGCTGCAGGTGCGTCTGTCAGGGGGACTGTTGATGGGAGCATGCTCTCTTCTACTTTTGTTTGAGAGAGCCCCACCTTTATACCATGCCTACCTCGGTTTAGCCATGTTTTTTTGGACAGAAATATTTGCACACTTCAGACTTTTGCAAAATGTTGGAAGTGTGATTCAGACAACTAAATTTTCTTGGTTTCAACAAGTCATCATCACATCGGTTATTTCCTTCATTGTTCTGGAGCTTTTGGTAAGAATTTCATAGTATAGTTACTGCATGAGTGTATTCAAATGTCAAGATCATCATGTCTGTCTATCAAAAGTATCATGCGCAGTTTAGCCTTGTTAACTAGTATTCCATTTACTGTTGTTGCTATGCATGAACTCAGATAAACATCACTTGTGCTTCATCCTACTTTGTTGCCTATCTTAGTTCTTTTCATTGTCAGCTTGGATTTTCCTGTCTTGTAAATTTCATGTATATCCCGGGCAGGAAGCTAATAGTAGTTTCTCTTTTCTGCGACTTTATTTTTTCCCTTCATTTCTTAGAGGTACTGGCACTTTTGCAGGTGGCAAGTTTTTTTATAAGGGAAGTATACACAGGAATATTCTCGGTCGCGGGAGTTGTAGGTGCAGTTGTGGTCTCTTGTAACATGCGAGATTTATCCATGGTTCCTGCATTTGTATGGGCCTCCTGTTGGTTTTTATCAGCATTTACAATGATGCCGACACAGATTGCGGACAATACGGCTCTGGTGTGAGTGCTCTAGCATCTCTCTTTTCCTTGAAATCCACTCGTGATTTCGCTCTCAAGGCTGCGTATTGTGGAAGCAGATTTATTTTATTTTTATTTTTATTTTTTTAATTGAGAAAGAAGTGCTATTGTTCATTTGTGAATATTTATATGACTTGGAAGTTTGGGATTCAATTTTTTTGTAGTTATTATTTTTGTTTTCCTAAGCATTTATTCTGATGATAGCTCTCTGAATATTCTTTGCTAGCACTTGTGTCAAAATCATGGTTGAAATGGGAAGTACTACTCATGGTGTGGTCTTTGTTGTGTTGGCAGGGTGGGAAGCGGAATATTGGTGGTTATGGTTGCCAGTATCGGTCGGTGGCTTGACTACATTAACGCCTCCGATCCTTATTGGAAGTTAAAATTCTGTACGACTGCTTCCAAGTTGGATAAGTCTTGGTTATTATTATGTATTCAGGTAAACTGCACTCTAAATTCTTTAGGTCAGTTAGTTCGTCGCCCTAATCTCCTTACCCGAAACATGCTGGGAGTTTGATCTGCCATCCATATGATTAGCAAATGTGTCATAGAAAAAATATGAGAGTTTGCCGTGCAAATACTTCGAAAAAAATTCTAATTCGTTCACACATCTTGGTTTTGTACACATTAATAGATTAAAAGAGTGTATTTATGATATCCATGCCTCCGATCCAGCAGAGCACTCAGTGTGTCGGAAATCTTTTTGACTTGTTACTCATACATTTGAAAACATTGCAAAGACAACAATGAATTGACAGCACTACTTGTTATATACTAAACGCTGCGACGTGAATTGCTTTTGATGACGTTGAGCAGGTTTTACTGGTATTGGCATCATCGGGCATGGTTTGGGTTACTACATCTTACCGAGCACAAAAGAAAGGCCTTCCCTTTATCCATCAGGCCATTAACTGGTTCCTAGCAGGATTCTCTATGCTACTGCCTTTGAAATCGCCTCGAGGAATACTCCCTCGACTGCTATCCATATTCCTTGGCTTTGCCCCACTTTTCCTACTCCTTTCCATTGGGTACTGCTCACTATGACATTTAGAAAAGTTCAATGTTTTGCCAACGTTCATATTACAAGATCTCTATTTCGAATTCTGATGCTCGTTTCTCTAGAGTCCTTTTCTCTTAAAGTGGTCTGTTCTGCAAAATAAGCCAAAATTTGTCTGAGACACTATTATTTGATTATATGATGCTATGTACTCATAATCGATAGTGATCATTTTGGGTTTATCAGGTACGAAGCTCTATTCTATACTGCGCTTGAATTGGTCCTCTTCTCGTGGATTCTTGTAGAATCTGCGATATGTCATTCTGTTGTGCCAAGCTCATCTCCAAAATGGGAAAGGCTGAACTCCAACTACCTACCGGAGTCCACAGGCAGGCAGTCTTCGAATTCTGCACTCTGCAGCATTGAGCTTCACCACACCAGGGTTGCGCTCTGCTTTGTAAGTCTTACTCTACTACTTGTAGTTGCTACGGCCAATCGATCCAATTTACTTCGTCATGTAATTGAAAAACTGTGCTGAAACTTCTGATGCAGCATGGGACCATTTTTTCCATAGATGCAGAGAGTCTTGGTCAGAATAATAGTACTTGTACTTGGGTCTTTGTTGCGATAAAATCTGCATAGTTTTAGAGTTGAGTTGAATCTACTCACAAATTGGTCCTCTCTGGGTCGATGCGTGAGATGGGTATCATTTTTTATTAAATATAGTGCGCATCTCTGTACGGCTAGTGAAGGACTTGACCTGAAATGTTAACCTAGGGACTTATTTTCGATGTTCAAGTTTTACAACCTATTTCTTCGAAGTAGTCTAACTCGATCATTGGTTTGCGGCACAGCTTGTGTTGATCAACGTTGCATTTTTTGGAACTGGGAACATGGCTAGCGTAGCCAGTTTTGAAATCTCTTCAGTATATCGGTTTATTACAATTTTTGATGTAAGTATCTCAATCAGTAAGCTAGTTTTACGTTTTTGGTACATTTTATATCTAGTTGTATCTAGGAGATATCGCCATTGTGAAATATCGTGCTTGCAGCTTGCCAAGAAATGAATCTCGTGCAATTTTTCTCAGCAATAATTTTGACACTCCTGCTTGATGCAGCCTTTCATTATGGGAGCACTTTTGCTGTGCAAGATCTTTGTTCCATTCATTCTTGTCACGTACGTATTCCTTTTTTTTTTTTTTTTTTTTTTTTTTCTTTTCTTTACTCCACCATGTCACTTTTGATAGTTTTCTTAGTTTCGCTGGGATTATGGAAATGACTGATGTGCACATAAAATCGAGGCAACCGAATCCTTCATTTAGTCTAGTTGTTATTGCGACAGTACTCCCATGAATAAATTTGCTGCTGCTACCTAGCGTAAGTCTTACGCGTCGATGCTTTCTTGAAATATTCGTGCAGGCTGCTACACTTCATTTCTTAACATAGTATGAATTGGGTGTGCAAGGAAGTTACCAGCCATCCAGCAGTGTCAATTGTCAAGTTTCACCTTGCAATAAAGCAAGCTTCGTTTTTGTGTATTTTGAACAGAAAATGTTCTCACGTAGCTGTGGATCTCAACTGCAGATGTGCGTTCAGTGCAGTCACAAGGATACTCGAGCTTCCACGACTTGGTTGCTACTTCGTTGTTTTGTTACTCTCTGATGTCATGACAATCCACTTCTTTTTTCTTGTAAGTGGTCATTTCTCAGATCATTCTTCTAGCATTTTGTTGGTACCCAGGGCATTGAGGTAGATGCATAAGCGTCCTATTTCTTTGATTGGCTCTATATCTACTATTCTGTCTTTGAGAATGGATAATGACGTCCCTGAGCACAATACGTGCTTCCTTAATTGGTTACTGGTTAGGTTATTCAAATGTTTGTTGAAGTCTCGTATCCTACTTGATGAATATGTGGAGTTCCTTTCATAAGCTTCTCATGAGTGGTGCATGATGTTTGAGTGTTTATCCAATTGACGTGCGGGTTTATGTCGTGCAGGTCAAGAATACAGGGAGTTGGATGGACATTGGACAGAGCATAAGTCACTTTGGGATTATGAGTGCCCAAGTAGTATTTGTGTTGATTCTTTTTGCTTTGTCTAGTGTTTTTACCCATGATCTGGACCTGTTGTCCAGTGAGCAACGCTCCTCTTTAGCACGATTACAGACTTCAAATGATCATAAGTACCATTAATTTTATTTTATTTTACTAGGTCATGGTTCGGATGTATATATTCTCTTTATCTTCTTATGACTTTGTCATGAACGTAGCCAGTCTTAGTAGAGCCTAGTTCTAATGAATTTTCCTTGAAATTGAAATTAGGCAGAAAATGAGGTCAGTTCTCAATGAAAACGTCGACTTACTTCGCCTCCATTTTAACTTAAACTTGTCATCATATTTCATCTTCTAGGATGAGAAACCTTCATCAATGGAATGTCCAAAATGGCCCTCAGAATCTGTTTAATAATGTTAACTTTAATATGGGTGAAGAAGTTTTACTGTCTAAAAGATAAAAAACCATTACATTTTAATCTAGGTTGTGGTCTTTGACACCTGTTATATATACATGTCATTATATAATACATGCAAATGTTACACTTTCCCTTCTTCCATTGATTTAAAACAATCTAATTGTATGGCGTTAGGAGGTAAGACATAGCCAAGTAAAAAAGTAAAAAAGTATTGCATTAGATACAAAGTTATGTGCAACATTAAAAAATATATATTATTTTAAAACATTCTAGAAATTGTGTTGGCAAAATCGAAATATTCCTTGACTTGCCTCCATATTTGTAGTATAATATTAGGTTCTCTAAATTCTTCAAAGAAAAGATATAAATATTTTAAATTATCCTATTTTATTATTTTTGTAAAAGTCTAAAAGGCAATAGAAGTTTGTAGATGGTCACAAAAGTCTTTGAAGGCTTTTGAAATATTAAAGAAGATCCTTAAAAGCTTTCAAACAACTATAGAAAATTCTAAAACCTTATAGAAGGTTTACAAAAGTCTAAAATTCTATAGAAATTGAATCAAATTTCAAAAAAAAAAAAAATAGTTTTAAAACTCTCTAATATCTGCGTGTAATATTGTTATGTTATGTTATGTTATTTATTTTGTGATACTAAGTGAAAAACTACTACAATTGTTAATCAAGTTAATTTACAATTTGGATTAAGATAGCAAAGAGTTATTCAAATATTATTATTTTAATTTTAATTTTCTAAATTTTTTTATTAGAAAGTATTATTATAAAAATTTGGTCCATTATGAATTAAGAGTGTTGTTAAAAATAATATTTAGAAAAAAATAATTAAATAAAATTATTCATTTTGCTCTTTTCCTTATTCTTAATTTTTATAATTATATTGCAAAATTTTATGTAATAAATAGCCTTGTGTGTTTTATATTTTATATTTTTCATGAGTTTGTAGGAAGTTGTACATAAACCTTTGAGGTTTTGTTCTTAATTTCTTATAATGCAGGTTGGCAATTAATAACTTCAATATATCTATGAAGATTTACAAGAACATTTTGCTAATACGAAAACTGAAAAAGTTGTTAGACCATTCTAATGATTATTGCGTATGCATTTTGATAAGAAGCAGTCTTGCAATAACAATGCACAACTATAATTTAGTAAGAACAACAAATTTGATTAGGTCATATAAGCACCCTTATATTGCGTATTGCATTAAAGAAGAAGACAACAAACTGACAACAAAGAAAAACTCTCCGACGAACTAACGAGCAAACAAATTAACCAACAAACCGATGAATGAATGAACATATGACAGACCAACGAACGAACAAAATGCTGAGAATATGCATTCCAGGGATGACGACGGTTACCCAGACACCATCCATAGATATTGCCGCTCCTATCTCACATCCATCGTCCAGAGTTTTGCAACTTCGAGGTTTTAGATGCTGTGTCAGAAACCCTGTTGGAAAACTCACAGACAAACAGTCTCGGTTGAGTCGGTCTGAATATCCCTGGATTGGCCTCGTTACCCTCTAATTTCACCTGTCAACGCCTTCGTGGCTTTGCAGCAGCAGCGCCGTATCCTTCAGCTTCAACGGTGAGAGTTTTAGAGTTGGGTTCCGGGCGAAATCAAGGTGCGTAGGTGGGGCTTGGTTCATTGCGAGGGCGATGGCGTCGTTGATAAAGGCCGGGCGCGATGCGACCCTCAAAGTGAGTATGAGTGCGCTGCAGATGAACGTTATCCCAGACATGGTGTTGCGCTTCGGCGTCAGGAAGCTTTTGGAAGGGAGGCTTAGCGAGATTACTAAGTCTACATTGGAAGCGCAGATGCAAGAGCTGCTCTCGTTTGTACAGTGTAACGCTTCGACTCCCTGAACACTTTTTCTCTGAGACCTTTTCTGTGTTGGAAACCAAATGGTGCCAGTGATAAATTGTGTAGTCATGGAAGTATCTCCTTGATTCCTTCCCAGATTCGTCTGTGGGCTTTTTCAAACTCTAAGATTGAATTCATGTATGTAGTTTGGATCAATATAGCGCTTGCAAAGTGTTGCAACTGATATTTTCCTCTCTCCTCGTTCTTTTGTATGTTGATTATCTAGACATTTGTTACAGTGTTGACTATTCCTCTTATTTTTGAATTGTTCATACAAAGTCTGCTGCTCGGTGTAACTCTGTAGAAAGTTTTATTCCTCTCGCGGAGCTCCACACGCTTCAGTAGGGAGTTCAAATCATGAGTACTTCATACACCATTTGATAGCACTGATGTTAAGAATAAACGCATAACGGTAGCGTTGTAATGTGAGCAGCATTGAAGCAAATGCCAATTGCTGTGCACATGGAGGATGCGAACACACAACATTATGAAGTTCCTACGGAGTTCTATCATCTAGTATTAGGCAAGCGACTTAAATACAGGTACTATGCCCCTTCACCCAATCTTTCCTATGATCACTATCTTTCGAAAGCATCTGGTAAACCTGAGCCTGTGGATGAAGTGGAGTAAGTTTTGAAGAATATGTGCATTTTTTATGATATTGCAGTTCTGCCTACTTTCCAAAGAAGGACTCCACCCTTGATGAGGCCGAGGAGTCTATGTTTGCGCTTTACGCCGAGAGAGCTCAGCTTCAAGATGGGCAGTCCGTCTTAGACGTTGGCTGTGGGTGGGGCTCCCTCTCGATGTATATTGCGGAAAAATTTCCTAATAGCAATGTCACAGGCGTGTCGAACTCAGAGACTCAAAGGGCCTTCATCACTGAAGAATGCCGGTAAATAATGTTTTCGACATTGTGGTCAAAAGGCGTGAATGCTAGTCTCGGTTGCTGCTTCTTTTTTTTTTTTTTTTTAATTTTTTATTTATTTATTTTGTTTTTCTGTTTTTTTTAGGCAAGAGCCTCTAGAGATGTTGATTGTCTGAGGAGCATGCCAGATCTTCGCTACGACTAACCCTTAAGATCGTGATCTGTTTCTTGTTTGGTTTTGCAGAAAACGAGGATTATCCAACGTGACAATTATCACATGTGACATGAACGTCTTCAACATTGACAAGTCGTTTGATCGCATTCTGTCCATTGAAATGTTTGAGGTGGGCTAGTTTCCTTCACTTCATCTGTATTCACTTCATTTGTACGCAGGTCTTCAGCTCATCGCCCGGAGTTAAATTTACGATTTTGATTTTGTTCATTTTGACGGTGATATTAGTAACCTAGTTCTGTGACCTAATCTCTGTTTTACAGCACATGAAAAACTACGAGAAGCTTCTGAAAAAGATATCTTCGTGGCTGAAGCCTGACGGTCTTCTCTTTATACACATATTTGTGCACAAATCTATTCCTTATCATTTTGAGGTATGTACTGAAGACTCTTTCAATCACGAACCTTGTAAATTGTTCTCTAGGCATTCACAGATGAACAATACTTTAACAATCAACGGGTCTGAGAATTTACTGACACTTTCAGGACAAAGGAGAAGATGATTGGATGAGCCGAAACTTTTTCACGGGAGGAACCATGCCTTCTAGCTCTCTTCTGCTTTACTTCCAGGTTATAATCGACTCTTCGCATTTCGAAGTGTTGAACCTTTAAGAAAGATATGAATAGAAGTTTATTTGTTGGTTTCTCATACTCATTAGAGGAGTGGTGGTGTTCATGTCGTACAGGATGACGTGTCAATTGTCAACCAATGGTTTGTAAATGGAACACACTACGCCCGCACCAGGTATGAGAGGCTCTTGGACCATGACCCATCTGGTATTTATTAATAAAACTCGTGCCTTCAACAGTACCTGGCGGTTGATGTTTGGATATTATGTTTGCAGCGAGGCGTGGTTACTGAAGATGGATGCCCAAGTGAAAGTTATAAGACCAATTTTTGAGAAAACTTACGGTGAAGGTGAAGCAACGAAGTGGATTGCCAATTGGCGCACGTTCTTCATAGCTGTTGCAGAGATGTTTGCTTTCAGAAATGGCGAAGAGTGGGGAGTGTGCCACTATCTCTTTAAGAAAAAGTAAATAATCTCGGGAGTCTGACTGCAGATGCAAGAATGTTTCCCTCTGTGGAAATTATTACAACTGATCTTGCATGTCAGCGACCAGGGCTGGCACATGAGGAAGCTTTTTCATTCCAGCCTAGGACGGGTTTGACGAGTTTGTGTTCATTGGTTTACTTAGTTTTAGGATGAGGTTTTTCCAGGAATATGTCCCGGGGAAGTGCTGGATCATTAGACATTGCTTCTGTAAAATAAATTCTGCTTTAGGTAGTTACGGTATTTGACCGCACACACGCGGGGACGCTTGCACCGGAAGGGTATGGGAAGGACTTACATGAGTGGGATCTAAGTCTGGTTAGTGACCTATAGAATTAAGCAGAAACTGACGACATTCATCACACTTCTGGGTAATTTTAATTCTGCTGTTGGTGCCCTTGACCCGGAAAGGGCATAGCACGAAAGAATTTTGCAGACTATGTTATATTTTTTTGGTGTATTTGTCTTGTTTTCGAATGATTCATGACCGAAGCACCTATTATAATATACTAGTCGATTGATTTTGAAACGGTATGCCTAGCACTTCCTCATCGTCCTGGCTAGCGAGATAAAGCTTTCGAGACATTGGTCAGTAACCAGGCTGTCTATTGGTTACTAACCAGTCTTAAACCTGACAACACAGACTCTACTAAACACTACCAGTTTCATACCCCAACCATGGAACAGAACAGTCTTCTATACGTGCGAGCCCAGACATCCAGAATTGAGTCAGATTTGGACAATCTCATACAGGTTACAACTTCATCAAGACGAGCTGGCTAGCGTCACCAAGACGTCATCAGTGTACAGACTCCAGGAGAGTCATCTATAATGGCGAAGCAGAAGAAATCAGTGCTATCAAAACAAGACAGTCTTCGGACATTGTGGTAGGTGAGAGTGTTCCATCACTACTCACTCACTCATCGACGAATACCATCGACTACAGTAGATGTGTACATCGACTACAGTAGAATTGTGTGTTCATTCCTTGTGCTCTGCCCGATGCCTCTGTGCAGCACCGCAGCAGAGGTTTCTCTGGTTAAGTAAACACTATTCTTTTGTCATCTCAAACACTAGAGAGACAGGAGGTGGTGGATAAGGCACTAGTTTATGTCCATGGTGTTTTAGAATTGATCACTGGCAGTTTTTCTTTTGTGTTTGCAAAGTATTCATGTTTTTCTCTTTTCTTTGCCTTTGGTTCTCCCTTGTGGACAACACTTCTCATATCATCCCATTTACTGTAAGCAGCACTCAACGTTCTTCATTGCTAATGTGGGCATACTAAAATTTTAGATTTTGTCCAATCTATAAAAAAACAATTCAAATATATTGTCCAAAATTTTTTGGTCTATTTTAGATATACACCAGTTTTAGAAAATATATCATGTTAAAGTTTAGTGTAACATTTAATAGATGATTTACCATCCTAGTAGCTAGATTTAATATTATAACATATATTAGATTAATTTGATATTATTTTTTATATTCTATCATATTTTAGAATATTTATCTAATATACTAAGGCTTAATGTTGGCATAAAAGTTAGTCTTATTTTATTAGATTTTTAATTTTTTTTAGCTTATACAACAAACTAATGGTCATTGTAAATAATAATAGCATCAATAGCTGTTTCTTTTGAATAAGCTTGCAATAGCAAACTTATTGTCAAAAATATTTATTTTTTATATTATACAATATATACGTGTCTATTTAGAATTAAGACAATCTTTGAATGTATATTAAACTTTAAAAATTTTATTAACTATTATCAATAATTTATATTAGTAAGTTTATAAAATTTTATAAAATTTATTTATTTAAAGTTTTTTCTAAATAAGAAAAATACTATCTTACATTGACTTTGTAATCAAGAAGAGTTTGGTTTATACCATTTGTAAACAAAGTATTTCTTATTGGTCAATATTATATGCAAAAATTAGCTACCAACAATATATTAATAATTTAAAAAGGATTTTTTTTCTTACTACTATAATTGCAAAAAAATCAATAATGTCTCTTATATTATGACTTCCAAAATTCTTGAAATTTTGGGTAGTACTAATTATCTTGTATTAGCATATGTTAACATTGATAATAATGTGATAAACTAACTTTTAAAAATAATTTTTGACAATGTCAATGATGATAATATTTTAAAAGTAATCATATCTCTAATACTCTCTTATCAATGATTCTATGGTTTTGTTAAGGATATAAATCTTGACATATCAAAAGACAATATATTCATGTGCTACTAAAGTCAAGAGAGAATAAAGAAAGAATATATATTTATAAGATAGAAAAGAACTAAAATAGTTATTTTCAAATACAAAGGGACTTGAAAATGTTAAACCAATGGTCTCAGTCTTGTATCTATATATACTAGCTATAAAGAAGATCTTGTAGAAGCTTTTTAGAAATTGTAAGGCTTATAGCTCAAGCATCAAGTTGTAGATTCCTTCTAAAACAAATTCTTAAAAGTAAGAGACTTGTAGAACAAGTTCAAATTGTCATGTGGCATATCTACGAAATTCTGAATATCTAATTTGCCTCTAAGAAACTTTCTCAAATTGTTTGAAGGAAGATACTATCTTTTGAATAAATTTTTATACACTTCTATTTAAATTTATTTACTTAATAATATGAGCATTTCTTATATTATACCATGATAAGAAGACCATCCTATTATTTTATCATTATTAGAGCTCTTTTATAGCTATATTTAAATAATATATTATATATTCCACTTTCTATAGTACAAAATTTTAGTAATAACACTATACATTGATTATTTCTATGAAGTTTGTAGTATCAAATATATTGTATCTTACCAGTTATTTGATAAAGGACATGTCTCTCTTAAGGATCTTCATCACAATTCTAATTTTGTTTAAGTTGAGACAACCTAAGTATTTTATCTAAAAATCTTACAAATGATAACTCTACATATGAATTTTTCAATTGTTGGTTCTCAATGTTATAAAAAAGTTTTATAAGTTAATCCTTAATTTATTATTATGTTGTTAATGGTTGGTCTTTGATTTTGATGGATATTATTAATAAAATACAATAAGAAGCTCTAATGTATTTGTGAGTTTTTCAAATGGCTACTATTTACATTTACTAACATCATATTTGCACCAATATACAAGATAATATAATTTATTTTGGTACTACCTTGAATCTAAAACTTCTTTTTTTTTAATTTTTTGGTTGTTACATATTTTAATAGAAGGTAATGGTAACTGCTTTCTTTTATATATATTGATTGAAATATAAGATTTTATTAGAGACATATAAAATATAAAATGAATCTTTATAAAGTATGGTAATTATAATTAATATATAATTTGATTAATTTTAGTTTTAAATAATAAATAGATCAAGCCTCTAATAATCTAATTTTACATAAGGTTAACTATTCTTGATATTACAATATAGCAATCATATCCTACCACCAATTTTAAATATGGTTTTTTTTTTTTCTAAAAATATTAAGATTTTTTTTTTAATTATTATTCTTGAGTCTTTTTTAATTATGTCTTCATTGTTGTATGAAGCCTAAATATTATTTTTATTTACTTTAAAATATTGGATTTTAAACTTTTAAAAAGTCAAAAATATCAAATTATCAATGACAACCATAATTGAAAAAATATTAAATAGAAGAATATAACATATTTTCATATAGAAATTCTATATATAATAAGATAATTATCTAATTGTCTTAGTTATAATTGATAATATATAAAATTTATTTCTATGATTATTAAATCATATTTTTTTTATTTATTTATCAATTTAAGAATAAAAGAATAAAAATAATTTGGTAATAATCTTTAATATGAAGAAGAGTGTTTTCAAAAGTCTTGATACAAATTAAGGTCTTCAATCAAATATAATATCAATAAAAATTATCAAATTATTTGAAAAGAAATGTGTGATATTAAATACAAATTATAACAAAGACATGTTATAACAAGCTTAGCAACAATTTAAAACATAGACTAATATAAAATACTTAAGATTCTTATAATTAGTAGAACTTGTGATTTGATGAAGAACACCTTCTAGGTAGTGAATCTATTCTTAGAATGAATCTACAATAGCAAGAAATTCTTTCTTTTAGATTTCATAATCAATTTCAGTTACACAAAATTTTCTTTAAAAAAAAGTAATAGGTTAAAATCCATCATTTGCATCAATTTGTGATAAAATTATATCTTATGCAAAATTTAATGCCTCTAATTCTAAAATAATTTAGATGGTATAAAATGGTCATGTATATATACAACATGCATTAAATGTGTTTTTGCATCTAAATTCTTTGATTGCATTCATACATCATAATAATCTCTTTAATTAGAGGTTTGATGCACAAATCCAAAATCATGTTGCAATTGATTCATTATAGCTCATTAGAGCTTTGAAAGGAAGAATCATTTCTTTAACAATGCTCAAGAGGAGAAGATTAAGAATCTGATCCAAGATAGAGCTAAAATTATGTCAATAGTGTTTTATGTAAGACTCATATCTTTGCTTATTAATGTTAAATATATGGATTTTCAGGAATTGAAGAGTGCAAGAGAGACATATTTGGCAAATTAGAATGCTATCAAGTTGGTTACTATGACCTACTTTCATGAAATTTTTGGAGTAAATTACAATGACATGCATGGCAAATTGGTTTTGAAGTGTTTAAGTCTTGGAGTAAATTACAATGATGTGCATGGCAAATTGGCTTTTGAGTGTTTAACAAACATGTGCTTCTTAGAAACTCCTTTCTATTTGTTATCTAAATACTTACACCTCATACATAGTACATAGAAGCCATGGATCAGAGCATGTCTGGAAGCGCTTCTTAAGAGGGAGCTTGAGTAGTTTAACCACTATTAGCCAACAATTTGATAGTCGAGCATAAACAACACCTGCAAATAGACTTAGCTAGGGATGGTGGGCACGACGACGACGACAACGCCGTTTCTTGGAGCGACTTTAAGGGCAGCAATCGGCATCAGAGGCTGGGAGGGAACCAAAAGCAGGAAGCACAAGTAGAAGCAGCACGTAGTAGAAGCAGCACAAGTAGAAGCTTCGCAGTGCAAAGCAAGATCGCCTGAACCTCCGATCATGCAGATACTTGAGACCACTAGGAATCTGCTTTGTATACGCCCTAACTTAATCATAACTTTCCGCGTTTTTGTCTGTTCTCGTTTTATTTGTTTTGAGCTTTGTTTGGAATTTGTTTCCTCTCAGATCTCGTCGAGTGGATTCAGCTTCTTCTTCAATAAGTCCCACACTGAATTCCGGAATCAACTGCAATACCCGATTTAACTGCAATACCTGAGCTACCTGCCGAACTTGAGTCAACTGCAAAATCTGAATCAGAACAAGAACAGGCTAGTTCTGTTGAGGCAAGGGTAAAGCATTATGGAAGTGGGAGAAAATCGAAAATACCTTCCGCCTTGAATATTGACAAATTTGAGGAACCTAGTATCGTCAGTACAGGAAGATCACCTGGTGTTGTTTCGAAGGGATCACCTTGGGACAACTGGTTTAAAGGTGGCATTATCGGCTCTGGAACGTTTGGCTCAGTGTATGAGGGTATTGACAACGATGGAATGTTTTTTTGCCGGCAAGGAAGCATTTCTTCAAGCTCAAGGGCAGGTTGGACAAGAGGCTATCAAGCAATTAGAACATGAAATAGCACTTCTTAGCGATATTCAGCACCCAAATATTGTTCAGTACCTGGGTACTGGGATGATGAGAAACTCTATATTTTTTTCTGGAGCTAGTAAGCAAGGGCTCAGTGGCTAGCTTATACAAGAAGTATTGTTTCTTCTATGATCAAGTTAGGGCGTATACAAAGCAGATTCTTAGTGGTCTCAAGTATCTGCATGATCGGAGGATCATACATAGAGATATTAATTGTGCAAATATTCTCGTAGACTCTAATGGAGTGGTTAAGCTAACCGACTTTGGGATGGCTAAACAAGTAGATAAACTGGGTCTGCTGAAGTCATTTACGGGTAATCCTCACTAGATGGCTCCAGAAGTGGTTAACCCCAAGATGCAATACAACTGCTTGGCTGATATATGGAGTTTAGGATGTACGGTGTTGGAGATGGCAACCGGCAATGAGCCATTTGGAGAATTGGTGTGCCATAGTGTATTTTGGAAAGTAGGTAATGGGGAAAGCCCTCTTATTCCGGAGGATTTTGAGTATGAGATGAAGGACTTCATCTCCAAATGTCTGGAAGTGACTGTAGCAAATCGTCCTACTTGCGACATGCTTCAGACACATCCTTTCATTACTGGTGAACCGATGACTGGACCATTGAAACTAGTGCCGATGGCTTTAGGGTCCCTAGAAAGGCTAGAAATCGAATTTTAGGAGCTTCATCGGGAACGCCAAGCGCCTCTGTCCATAGATTCATTACCTCAGTTATACTGTGAACGGTTTGGTAAAACTCTGCAGACAGAAGGTTATCTCATTGAAAGCCAGCGGCATGGAAAAACTGGTTACAGCCTTGCAAAGATACCGGCTCGCTTGAAGAATATTGTGACTATCATTGATAGGTACGTGCCTCTGTCGAGTTCTAACTTTTGGAATGTCGGTCGTGTGCCCGTTGTTTGACTCTCTTCCCATGCTACAGTATAAATACTGCGAGTGAATCAGTTCAATGCCTTATTTGAAATGGATTTCAGCACGGCCTCGTTCGCCTGTGCCCCTCACCTTTTCTCCTCTCTTAATCGTGCATCGGTAAATTGCTTTGTGCAATCATGTAACTTCATTTCCTTGATTATAGGATGTATTGAATCTGATGTTTGAATTGCACAAATAGTGTGCAGGTGCGCAATGGTTTGAGGTAGGCAAACAATGCCATGTATTGTGTATGTGACTGTAGGCTAAATTCTGGGAGATTTGATTCTTTAGACCCTGCAAGTGAAAGTGAATGCTTCATTTAGAGTGCATGTTGGATGATTGATTCTACAGCGTTCTCCTGTGCTTATTGGATTGCAGGATTAGCAATATGTCACGTATCTTGTCAGATGATTATTTATGCTACGACAATTAGTGCTCTGTCTGCGCTTGTGAGAGTTAATCTACACACATTCTTAGCAACCGTTGAGTGCGAAAGTCGGATCACTTAGGCCTGTTGGTAACGAAGCGGTGAGTGAGCGGCAATTATTTGTCAAGCCGAGGTAGTGGGGGTCTTGGGGGTGCCCACGGGTCTACCGAACTCTCTTTCTATATCCGAGAGGTGGAAAGGAAGGGCACGAGACAGCAGAGGAAATACCTTTCTTAGAGTGGGTGTGGGCAGTGGTTCATTCAGACACAAGCAGACTGGTGGGTGCTGCCAAGGATGCGCATTGGTCCGACCATCGCAGAGAGGATTTGGTAGAAACCATCCTCTCCCCTCGTCAATACCTGGCCTGGAGGCCTTCCAACTCAACCCAACTCAATCGACTGGTTCGGGCGATCTAAAAGAAACATAATAAAAAAATCTCTATCTACATAATAAAACAGGTTATGAGTAAAATAAAGACATGAAAAAGCCTTCTCATTGGCCAAACTCAAAGGAGTTGTTAACTAGCAAAAACCTTACGTAACTTATAAGAAGAACTTTAGTTTATTATTTGTACACCAGATCATTTTACAACTTTTCTATGCCCAATGGCATGCATTTTTATTAGTAATATATATAGATAGAGTTTTTTTTTTTTTTTTTTTTTTTTTTTTTTCCCCCAAGAATTTTTTTGTTTGGAATTTGGAATTTGGAATTGGTAAAATTGGGATTATTTTTTAAAAAAATTTAAATTTTTTTTTTTCCTTTTTTTATAAAATTTAAAATTTAGGGGTTTTTTTTTTTTTTCCTTTAAAACCTGGAATTAGAACCTTGTCTTTTATTTATTTTTTTTACAAAACAAATTTTTTGCCCAAAATTGTTTTTTATTTTTTGGCTTTTAAGTTTTTTTATTTTTCAATTTATAAAAGGTGCCCTTTTTTGTTTTTTCCTGCCCCTTTTTAATTTTAATTTTTTAAAAAAATTTTTAAATTTTTTAGCCCTTTATTTTAAATTGGAAATTTTTTTTTTTTTTGGTTTTTTTTAAATTAAAAAATTTATTATTTTTAAATTTTGAAGCTTCAATTTTTATACAAATTTTTTTTTTGAAAAATTCAAAAATAAGAATTTTTTTTTTTTTTTTTTTTTTTTTTTTTTTTTTTTTTTTACTAATAAATTGATATTCAAAATTATTCTATTTTGATTATTTTTCTTTCTAAAGTTGTTAAGTTTCTAAATTTTTATAAGGCCTCCTACAAATGAATTTAAATGCTTGTTGAATTATTTTTATTGACTCTTTCATTTCTCATATTTGGATTAAATAACAAACTAATGAATTTTCTTCTTTTTGCCATTGTATTTGTTAAGCTAATTCATCATAAAACTTATAATGATCTACTTTTTGAAGATTCCATTAAATTCTTGAAGTATACAACATAGTTCCAAGTAAACTCAAATTTATTATTTTTTCTTTTTTAATAATGCTTATACCTTCTACTTATTTTAAATTTGTCTCTTCAATATAGAATAATCTATTTTAAAGAATTAGAATACAAAAAATATAAAATATTATAACATTCTTAAGAAAATTTATTGCTAATTAATTTTATTAATTCTACTTAACTAAAAAAAATATTAAAAATAAGAAAAAAAATCTTTTTAGAAAAATTGTACTTTAAAAATTTTCAAAAGAATTACCATAATTAGCAACAAAATTTACCAATCAGCCATAGAAGCACGTCCTCTAACCTATTTATCATACTCGTTCTCATATGCTCTTTCCCTCCACTCCCACATTTTTAATCAGCTGCTAAGATTGAATCCAAGGACTACCAAAATCCAATGATTTATGGTAGCACAGTAAGTTGTTTGGATTGAGAGGCCTCCAAACTACTATTCTACAAGGATCTTCTCTTTAGCTCTATTTCATAAACGATGGTGTTATTTTACTTGACCAAGATGTTTTTCTTAGTATAAAGGATGTTTCTTTTATATACCCAAAATCAAATACCTAAGGTTGGCCTTAACTAGGTCATGCAAGAAGATAATGTTTGTCAAAGAAATATTTTGTTTTGCTAATTCTTTCAATAATTCTCTAGTAAGAAGCATAAGTAATTTTTTGGCCTTCATTGGTGGTCCAAGTCCATGACCTATATCTATTATTTGTGTATTTTTTTATCTATTAACTCTTATCTAAATTATTTTCTACTAGTCCAGCTAATAATACAATTACAAAGTAAAAAATAATAACTTGTGGTTGTCAATATTGGTTGTCAATCAATATCAAAACATCCTTGAAGAAAAAAATCTTTGTAGGATCATTTATATAAGAGTCTAAGGTGCTTAGTATCTTCTAAAAATGTAAGAATTTTCTTTACAAAGCACCTATTTTTCTTCTTAAGATCAAAAAGGTACTAAATTACTAAGTTTGTAGGATAAAAGATATTGGAATAAATATTGATAGAAACATGTTTAAAAGAGCTAAGTAGTGATTTATAAGAAAATAGTTTTATTTAATTTGTTTTTAATAGTCTAAGAACTATAATCTTTAGACAATGTTTTCCTTAACTTTACAAGGATTGATGCAAGATTATAAGAATTTATTTTGAATTTTGTCAAAAAAATAAATATATTGAGATTAATTTTTTTAAAAAAAATCTAGCTTGTTGATTATATATAATTTTTAATCTTCATACTATAGTATTGATGACTTGATCAATGTCTATGACTTTAAATTTAGAAAATAAAGCTTATTTAGTTTTATTTAAAAGAACAATTGAATCATTAGAAAGTATCAAACTATCATTGATATAGATGGTAAGAATGATAAACTGGTTGTCTTAACAAAAAATATAAATTTTAGTATTTGAATTATTATAATTTAAACCAATGGATAGTAAAAAAGTGGCTTATTTTTCATACCAAGTTTTTGAAGACTATTTCAAGGCATATAAGGATTCCAATAATCTATAAACAAAATTAGTTTGTCTTAAAAAATGGATATTTTTTAAATATATTTTAAAGCATTCAATCAGAACTATATAGATTTTTTGAAATTTCTATTTAAGAATGCAATATAAACATGCATTTGATGGATATATAAGCTATAATAGGTGATATAAGCAAGTTGAACTTTTAATAATGAGAATTTCAATACTAATAAGAATATTTCAAAATAGTCCATGCCTTATTTTTATATAAGCTTTGAACAAATTGATAAGTTTTATTTTTTAACATATTAATATTAAGACCATTTTTAGTTTTAAATATCCATTTATAACTAATAAGAGTATGGTTAGAAGGTCATAGAATAAGTTTTAGAATTTGATTCTTTAGTAAAGATTAAAATCCAAATTTTATGGCATTTTTCTATTCATATAAGTTTTATCTTTATAAATCTTCTTCTAAGATAAAGTCTTCAAAAAAAAGTCTAATTTTGTATAAATCTATGATTTTATTTTATCTTTTTTTTTTTGCTAGATATGCCTTTTATAATATCTTTAGTTAATCAAGAGTCTTTTAACAAAAATTGAGACTTATAGGTGTTGAAGTTAAGTAGTAGATGGAGATTCATTTTCAAAGTTTGATTGAAAAGAATTTAGAATTAGAGTCTAGATTTGATTTTAGGTAATATCCATAATATTCTTGCAACATTAATATAGACTTCAAAATCTATTTTTGACTATTTGTATTATTGGTTCTTAGGAAAAAAGAAATTATATAATGATCTCAATTACAACCAAAGTTTGTATTTTTTCCTAAGAAACTTTGATTAATTAAATCTTATATAATAACTAGAAATAATCTTAAAAATTAGATAATAAAGTTAATTTTATGATTAAATTTATGGTCTTGAAAAGATTTATTATAAGATATGCGATAAAATTTGGAATGGCTTATCTTTCATTGATAATATTGATAAAGATGAAGAAGATTTATTAATATTATTAACTTTTGAATAATAATTTATTCTTATTATCAATAAATAAGTAATTTTTAAATGATGAAAAATTGATTTCTATTTTATATTAAAAAAATTATGTAATTAAATGGCATGCTTCTCATTAAAACAAAAATATAGTCTTCACTATTCATTAGATTTTGTATTATTGATAGCTGATAGAAACGGATTTTTAAAATATTTAAATATTTTTTCATATTGTCATTGTCTTTCATCTTCAAATTAGCCAATTATTTTCTAAAATATATTTATGATAAGTAAATCATGTGATTTGAATAAAAAACATAGTTTTTTTTATACTTTTTTAAATATATTGAATAAAGCAATATGAAAAATTTGATTTAATTCTAAGTAATTGATTATGTTGATAAGAACATTGATATCTTTATTACAAAAAGCTTTTTTACTACCAACACTTATAAGTGATAGATGTCTTATTATATCATTAAAACTTTGTGGCAGAGTAGATGATAAAAATTTAGTATCTTCTAGAAATTCAATGATTTTTAAAATTTTAATATAAGATTTAAGTTGTGTTTCTATAATTGAAAATAAAAACCGTCAAATTTTATAACTTTTCTAAAATTTGAGATATTAAATTGAGATTTTTTTCTTTAAAAAGTAAATAATACTATCTACTATTAAAGATAAGAATTTTATAAAAGAAAATAAATAATTGATTTTTTTTTAAAGAAGTATGATAAAATATAAATAAAAAAGTATGTATATTAAAAAGAAACTAGAATTTTTAATAGACAAGAAAATTAGAGACTTCTCAAAACTAAACTAGAAACAAGAAAAGAATTAACAAGAATAAAGAAGGCTTCACTCTTGCCTCTATACATACTATCTATCTAAGAGCTATATGATAATGTTCAATAAAACTTCCAAAACATATAAACTTTGCACAACACATATCTTAACTTACTGTCATGGACATACATAGGTATTCTAGTAAATAATTATATGATTAGGTAAGAATAGATAAAAATAGATAAAAGTAGGTTAATTTTATAAGACCTTTTAGAGAGGCTTCTTAGAAGCTTTATAGATGTTGCTTGGCGTTACATGTTTTGTAGTTGATTGGTAGGTTAGTAACTTGGTCAACTAATTAATTACGTATTGGTAGCTTGGAAAATAAGGTAACTATGTGGTGCACATATAGAAAACTTGTCTTACAAGTTAAGATATGTGTCTTGTAAAGTCAACATATTTTGGAGATCCTATAGGACATCGCTACATACCTCATAGTTAAGAATATATATGGAAGCAAGAATAAAACCTTTTTTATTCTTGTCAATACCTTTCTAGTCTTTAGTCTTATTTCAAAACTTTTTAGTCTTCTTGTTTTTAGCAATAACCATTTTAGTTTAATATTATATCATCTTTGAGTGACTTTTTAGTTCTTTTCACTCATATAAGAATGTATTGAAGATTTTCTTTCTTCAAGATTCATATCCT